TTAATTTCATTGTATATCTCCATCAGAGATCTTGGGTGATCTGGTGTCTTGCCAATGACAGTAATATTTTGAAATGAAACTTTTTTTCTGTGTAGAAGATTTCAACGGTGGGCTTAGGATCGTCATTAAACAATGTTGTAAACAGACACACTAACTCACGCTTTGCTGTTCCATTGGTAGAGCACAGACAGTACAGACTTAGCAGAGGTCTTAGGATGAGAAATGACAATACCTAAAGTCACCAGCTACATTAGTCCCTAATAGGAATTCACCCTGTCCTTTGAAGTTTGAAGCAAAGAATTAACTTCTAACTCTGATAGCCCTAGATTGCATCTTTTTCCAATAGAAAGCTGTTGTTTGTACTTATTTATTTTTTTTAGTTAGGGTCTCACTATGTAGGCCAGTTTGGCCTTGAACTCATAGAGATCCTCCTGCTTCTACCTCCTGAATGCTGGGATTAAAGGCATTGTGCCATTACACCTGGCTGAAAAAAATTTTTTAAGATTCATTTTTGTCTTTTTGAAGCAGGGTCTCCCTGTAGCCTCAGCTGTCCTGGAACTCACTATGTAGACCAGGCTGGCCTTGAACTCACAGAGATCTGCCTGCCTCTGCCTCCCAAATGCTGGGACTACAGGCGTGCGCTACCACGCCTGGCTTAAGATTCATTTTTATTTATCTGGCTGTATGTGCATATGCCACGTGTGTGCAGGTGTCTATGGAGACCTGAAGAGGGTGTTGGATTATATGGAGACAGAGTTACAGGCAGTTGTAAAATGCTTGATGTGGCTGCTGGGAATGGAACTCAGGTCCTCTGGAAGAGAAGCAAGTGCTCATAAGCACTGAGCCATCTCTCTGGCTCCTGCAATGAAAATTTGTTATGAGTGGCCACCTTAATCAACAATCTTAGCTGTATCTGCATAACCTGCTGTAACCTCTGCATCAACACTTGCTCCCTCACCTGCATGTTTACCCTATACAGACAGTTTCTTCCCTTAAACTCATGAATCACCTCTGCTAACTTCAGACTTCCTTCTGTCTTCAATTTCCTCACTTCCCTCAGCTTCCAGAATTGAAGAGAGTTAGGGGCTGTGATAATTTGAATGAGAAATGTCCCCCAGAGGTTCATGTATTTGAACACTTGGTCCCTAGTTGGTGGTGATGTTTGGGGAGGTTTTGGAACCTTTAGGAGGTGCAGCCTTGTTGAAGGCTGTATGTCACTGGGGGTGGGTTTTGAGAGTTTATAGCTTTGTCCCACTTCCTTCTCCCTCTGCTTCCTGTGTGTGGGTAAAATGTGACCAGCCAACTTCCTGCTCCTGCTAGCATGCCATGGACTATAGTCCTTGGAATTGTAAGCCAAAATAAATGCCACCTTTCTTAAGTTGTGTATGGCCATGTTTTTTTGCCGGTGCCAGCCGGCCTTAGATGAACAGCACCTGAAAGGGGGAGTGAGGATTGAAAGAAAAACAAGAGAGACAGAAAAGATGCTTGGGAGGACTGTCAGTAGAGACTGCAGCCCCGGTTTATTTTAGCTCAGCCTTCTTATACAGCAGAACATCAGATAACCACAGTTTACTTAGCTCAATTAGCTTCAACAGCTCTTTTTTACCACCTTTATCTGAGGGTTAAGGAATGGTCAAATACTTGTAGTGAATTCCACCAATTAACCATCTTCCCTAAATTATCAGCACATTCCTCCTGACTTGACAGAACAATTCAGTGCTTGTGTCAAAACACACAAACTCTTTTGAGTCAAAGTGAAAGATCATAAAGTAAACAAGCAAGCCTGCCACTCCCCCTGGCCCCCCCGTGCTGGGATTAAAGGCTTGCACCACCATTTTGTTTACCCATTTGGACTTTTTTTTTTTTCAATCTTTTTGAGACAGGGTCTCCCTGTAGCCCCAGCTGTCCTGGACCTCACTGTGTAGACCAGGCTGGCCTTGAACTCACAGAGAGCCACCTGCCTCTGCCTCCCAAGGGCTGGGACTACAGGCGTGTGCCACCACGCCCGGCATGGCCATGGTATTTTATTGCAGCAATAGAAAAGCTAGAGGGACCCATCAGAGAAATGCAAATGCAGACTTTGAGATTCCATCTCATTCTAGTTAGAATGGCAGTCATTAAGAAAACAAATAACAACAAATTCTGGTGAGGATATGGACAAAAGGGAACGCTTATACTCTGCTGAGAATGTACACCAGTCCAATTATTATGTAAATCAATACTGAAGTTTCTTAAAAATCTAAAAGTAGACATATCATGTGATTCAATGTAGGAATAACTTTTATTAATGGACATGATCTGGAATAATGACTTTAAATTACCCCCAGCAAAATCTTGGGTCTGATGAGGAGGAGGGCAAAGGGAGTATGGGAGGAATATACTCAATATATATTATATATACTTGTATGAAAATGTCCTTATGTAACACAGTACCATATATAATGAATATATGCAATGAAACTTTTTAAAAAAAGAAGAGCTTGCTTTGGATTAGGCTTTATTTTAAGAGAATGTTGTGACTCGTTTGATTTTCTAAATCTAAACACTAAAACTATTCCCATATTGGCAATAAAACTCTTTTGATTCCTACTATTCCTGTGCTTACTAAAGTACCACTGTCATTTTTCTCCAAGAACTTTTGCTTTGCACTTGCAAGCTGGACATTTAGTTCATCTGGGCTGGATTTTGGCCTGTCTCAGCTTTTGGCATGCCTTCCTCAGTAAACTTAATCGTTTCTGCTTTTTGCTTTAAAGTGAGAGACGTAAGCCTCCTCTTTTCACTTGATTTAGAAGCCATTGGGATTACTAGTCTGCCCAAATTCAGTAGTATGTTCCAGAGACTAGGAAGGCCTGAGAAGATGGAGAGAGGTGGGGGAGAAGAACAGTAAGAATACACACACACACACACACACACACACACACACACACATACACACACAAACCCATTAAGTCCATCATCTGACATGGAACAGGTCATGGTACTCCCAAAGCAATTATGATAGTGACTTGAATGATTGTTGATCACACATCACACTAATGGGTAGAATAATAATGAAAACCTGAAAGGTGTCACAGACCAGAAGTGGAAACCTGCTGCTGGGAAATAGCTCCAATTAACTTGCCCCATTTGGGTGGCCATGAACCTTCAATTAAAAAAATTATTTATTATTTTTATTTTATGTGTATGAGTGTATTGCCTGTATATATGTTAGTGTACCCATGTCGTGCAGTGCCTGAGGAGGTCAGAAGAGGGTGTTGGAGCCCCTGGAACTGGAGTTACAGACAGTTATCAGCTGCCATGTGGGTGCTGGGAATCGAACTTGGGTCCTTTGCAAGAATAGCCAGTGCTCTTAACTTCCCAGCCATCTTGCCAGCCCTGAACCTTCAGTTTGTAAAAATACAATTATTTGTTAAACACAATAAAATGAAGAGCAAGAAAATGATTAACAAAAGGTGCTAAAATATGGGAGCGTCAGTGTTTAAGGATTCTCTTTTCCTTAGTGATGATGGATTTCTTAGCCCTTTCCAGCTTGCTAAACTGATTTATGAATTACCAGTTACTAATAGGATGATAATCTAATCTTTACATAAAACTTGTGGAGATTTTTTCCCCCCAAATGTTAAAACAAACATCTTGGAGCTAGGGCCACAGTTCAGTGATAGAGTGCTTGCCAAGCATCTCAGTGGCCCTGGGTTCCATCCCATTGTGTCAGAGAACTTGACTAAATTGTTTGATCTTGTTTTTCATTCTCTATTTACTTTGTTTGAGGAGCATGCTTTCTTGTCACTCATACTGCACACAGCCACTCAGGACTGCTGGCTTTTTATCAGTTTATTGTTATTATGAGTGGTAGGGAGGCTTGAACTGAGGGCCTCTTGCATGCTAAACTCAGCTCAGCTATTCTCCCGCCACTCTGAGCATCAATACTGAAAACATGGAAGGTGACTGTGGTGAGGCCAGCCTCAAACTAAACTAAGCAGGACTTTCTTGAAGACACACACACACACACGCACACATTTTAAATATGTATTTTATGTGTGTGTGTGTGCGTCTGTGTGGCAGTATGTACAGATGTGTGAATGGGGGCATATTCTGTGTGCATAAACTCGAAGGCCAGGGAGGCCAGGGACCGCTTTTGGAGTCCTCCATCACTCCTCACTATTCCTTTCAGACAGGGTCTCTTCCTGAACCTGGGTCTTGCATTTTCTCGGCTAGGCTGAAAGCCAGCAAAACCCCATTGATCTTTCTGTCTCTGTCTACCTTGGAGCTGGATTAATAGGCATTTGTGAGCTACCTGGCTTGTTAAGTGGGTGTTGAACAGTGGTTGTCATGATTGCTCAGTGAGCTCTCTTAATCTAACCAGTCAGGCATCACTCCAGACCACTTATGTTTCAAGAGAAAGATTAAGTGAAAAGAGGTGTACAAAGAATTAAGCCCTGTACCCACTGTACCCAGGCATGGCACTTCCTTGTTACTTAACAAGGAGACTCTCTGGAAAGGGAGCAGTGACAAGGCAATGTTTGAGGAGGGCTGCGAACTGCATCCCTGGCGGCCTGTGAATGAGGAGGCGATCCTAGGACTCACGCAGTGGATAGAGCAGCCTCTCTCAAACTAAGCTGGACTCCGCCCTTAAGGTCACCAAGGCAGAAGCGTCGGCCACGTGCTCAATTACAGGGCTCTGGCGCAGTCGCAGGGATCTTTTGCCTGGCCAATCAAGCGGAAAGCCGGAGGAGGGGCGCTGCAGAGCGGGGCGTGGCAAGGGCGGAGCAGAGGGAGGCGTGGCGCCAGGGAGGGGGCGTCGCGCGTGTTGCGGGCGTGGCATGGGAAGGGCGCGGGTGGAACAGAGCTCCCGGTAGCATTGGGACTGGGCGACCGGGCGGAGGCGGGGATCCAGGGCTGGAGCGCTTGGGTGTGTCTCCGGAGCGAGGGCGGGGCGGGGCGGGGCAGAACTGCGGGCTGCGCCGGGGTAGAGGGCAGGTTGGGTTGGGTAGGGTTGGGTTTTGGCAGCTTTCCGCACCGGGAGGGCGGGCACCTCCCAGCTGCTGGCGGCGCGGGCTCTTTTCCCTTTCCTGCTGGCCATGGAGCGGTTGATGTTGCCTCCCGGCGGCGCGGCCGCGGTGGAGGAGTACCTGGAGTACCGGAGGTGAGGCCATGGGTTTGGACTCCGGCGTCCGGCGGGGTCCCTTCTTCCGGGAGGGCGGGGGACGGGCGGGGACCCGGCGGGCGAGCGCGGCGGCTCCGGGAGTTCTTTCCCAGACTGTTGAGAAAGGCCTAGATTCATGTTACGTTTTCATCTTTTTGTAATTAAATATTTCGACAAGTATCTTCCGAGACCATTGAAAGTCTCTCCTGTCAAGAAGGATAATCAAGTACCTTTTTGGAGGTCTTTTTTTGTTTTTCTTAGTGACCTTAGATTGAGCACTCGGAGTCTGTAAAAATTAGCAAACATCAAGTTTGCAGGTTAACTTAGTGATGGGTAAGTCGTGAACAACCAAACTCTCCCAAGCCCGACGTGCTGATTTTAGGATGTGGTTTCGGTGGTTCTGGAGACTTCCCACATGGAGCAAGGGACGCATCCGCTGGCACCTTTGGCTTGAGGACTCAAAAAGAATGTTGCATCTGCCTCCAAGTGTCTGTTTACTAAGAAAGGTGTTTCTTTTGTTTGTTTGTTTGGTTTTGGTTTTGGTTTTTATTTTTGACAGTTGGGAAACTTGGAGAATAGGAGTTACGGAAGAGAATTGGAGTGACAGAAGGATGCGCAGTTGAGTTAGGCGGGGAGGCTGTGTGTCTAAAGGAGAGGTAAAATGTATGCTACCTTGCTCAGAGGTGCTCGCTCCAAACCATACAGGGGTGTCTGGACAATGGGGTTTCCCAGCATACTGCCCCACTAGTGTAGCTTTGGGTAATGCTTAGAACTTTCTGAAAATCCTGAGTAGGAAATGTGAGATGGGGGAGCTTAATCAGTCAGTCCCCTTGGTAGGTTTGCCCATCCACAATTTACACCCTTATCCGTCAGGGCCCGCTCCTTTCGCTTTGGATTCTTGGACTTTTACCCCAGAACCAGTCACTGGGCTCTGGAGTTGTCTGAAGACTAAGATATTTAGGAATGTGTATTTATGGACTTCCTGTTGTCTCTTACCCAGAAATGCTGGGGACAGACCTGTGGAAAATTATTTTTGCAAACATAAATATAGAAAATGTCCCTGTTTGAGAAAGACGAGGACTTGGGCTCCTAGTTGTGAAAGGGTGTACATGGGAAAGGCACCAAATGATCTCCATCAGACACAAATTTTCCAGGTGTTAGTAGCCCAGGCTGTAATTCCAGCACTCAGGAAGTGGATTCAGGAGGATGATGAGTTCAAGGCCAGCCTGAACTACATAGTGAGACTGTCTTAAGAAAATAAGGACTGAGATTTAAAGCTCACTTTCCTAGCAAATGCAAGGCCCTGGGTTCGATCCACAGTACTGCAAACAAAACAAATATGCCAAACAAAAACTTGTTCCTCAGTTTTCTTTCATTTTGTCTTGCCTATTTGCTTTGGTGGGAGGCACTTAGAAGGAAGTATAGCCTTGATATTCATAGTGTCAGAAGCATGAGGCCCCACACCTGAGTGCTTATTAGAAAAGAACCATTTGGGGGCTGGAGGGATGGCTCAGCAGTTGAGTGCACTGCTTGCTCTTACAGAGGACCCCAGTACCCACATGGTGGCTAACAACTGTCAGTAATTCCAGTTCCAGGGGATCCTATGCCCTCTTCTGGCATCTGTGGGCATTGCATGCAGGTGGTGCACTTACCTACATGCAGGCAAAACATGCATACACATTAAAAAAAATAAGGGGGCTGGAGAGATGGCTCAGCGGTTAAGACCACTGGCTGTTCTTGCAGAAGACCCAGGTTCAAATCCCAGCACCCACATGGCAGCTAACAACTGTCCCTAACTCCAGTTCCAGGGGATCCAACAGCCTCTTTTGTCTTCCATGGGCATTGCACAACACGGGTGCACTTACCTACATGCAGGCAATACACTCATGCACATAAAATAAAAATAATAAAATATTTAAAAATAATACATAAGAGTTAAAGAAAAGTATCATCTCAGGCTTACCTCCAGACTTATTAGCTTGACTCTACATGTGAACAAGATATCCTGGAGATGATGGGCATAAAATAAAGTTTGAGTTGCACAGGTTTAGAATTTAGATACCCATGCCATCTTACTTAAAATAACTGTATTTATCTTAAGATCTTAGTGGTACCTGTTCATATTCTTGATGGCTATAAAAATTTCTTATCCCAAAATAAATGCATTTTTTACTATTGTGTATCTAGATTGTTTAAACAAAGGAGAGACAAATGAAAACAAAAAGGAAAATAACACCAAGGGAGAAGATTGTGCTGATTATATAGTTTATGAATTGAGTTTTTTCTGTTACAACTAATGCTTGCAAAACATGAAAAGAAGTATGTACTGTACAAAAAATGTGTAGCATTCTATATACAACAGTTTCAGGTATTAAAGGGAGATAGTTTCAAAGAGAAATTTCTTCCACTTTGAACAACTTGTTTTAGCTATACTTTCTTTTTCTCCAGGGAAGCAAACTTTTTTATTATTATTTTTTCATAGTAATAGTACAGGCTGATTTTTTTCCCCAGTACAACTTAGGATCCGAAATTAAACATTGAAATATCTGATTACCCAACACATACCCATGAGTTTGAGCTTGTGCAAATAAAAGCATGTTTTTAGAGCCATATGACTTTAAGCTTCTGTTTAGGGTTTAGGGTCAGGTATGGGAATCAGTCATGTTGGCTTCTGCATTGATACATAGTGTACTTTTGTTATTATTTTTAAAGGATGAAGACACAATTTTAGAAGTTTAGGCTCCAGATTTTTTTTTTTTTGAGACAGACTGCTGTGTAGTGCAGGCTAGCCTCTAACTCACAGTTCTTCTCAGTACTAGGACTACAGGATTGCACCACCATATTTGGCTTGGGCTCTCGCTTTTAATGAGAAGAATGAATATATTTGTTTCAGAATTAAAGGAAAAATTGAGATGAGTATATGGTAATCCCCACTAATAAACCTTGGTCATTAAAGTCATATTTTAAATCCTTACCTATGGGCTGGAGAGATGGCTCAGCAGTTAAGAACACTGTTTGTTCCTGCAGAAGACCTGGGTTCGAATCCCAGCACCCACATGACAGCTAACAACTGTCCCTAACTCCAGTTCCAGGGGATCCCATGGCCTCTTCTGTCCTCCACGGGCATTGCATGACATGGGTGCACTTACCTACATGCAGGCAATACATGCATACACATGAAATAAAAATAATAAAATATTTAAAAAATCCTTACCTATAATCTGATATGGATAGAGTATGGAGAAAAGATTTCTTCCCTCAGCCATCACTAGGTTCATGTTTGAGGTACTGATTATAAAAGACAGATTAACAAGAGAAAAGCTTGTGAATTTAAGTTTTATGTGGCATGAGAGCAACAGAAAGCAAAGACCTCCCCCCGCCCCAAAACAGGAAATCCTGTACCTTTATGCTTAAGTTTGCTGAATAGTCATGGAGAAATATGAGTGATGGATGAGAGGGTATGATCTAATAGTAATAAACTGGGGGACTTAGCAAGGCCTGTTTGTGCAGGTTCTTCTCTATGCTGTTATGTCTTCAGAGAGAAGCATGCTCCAGGTACAGGGAGGGCACTTCTGGAGTGAGGGCTGTAGGACCTGCTTCAAGGAAGCACGTTGGGATGGCAGGAGTGGCATTCCTGCTTTGGCTGTTTGCTCAGATGCTCAGGGACCTGCTCACAAGATTTTGGGTAGCACATCCTGAACTCCATCAGACACAAAAGTTTTATTGTCACCAGTAAAAATTCCAAGTCAAAGCAGCCTTTCCTTTAAATACACAATTTAATTTTAGAGTTTAATATTTTTGACCTGGAAAATGCTCAAAGCTTAAGAGAAATGATTTTTTTTATGTTGTTGTAGAATTGTTGGTGAGGATGATGGAGGGAAACTTTTTACTCCTGAAGAGTATGAAGAATACAAAAGAAAAGTTTTACCTATGCGATTACAGAACAGATTATTTGTGAGCTGGCGGTCACCAACAGGAATGGATTGTAAACTTGTTGGCCCAGAGACACTGTGCTTTTGTACACATAGGTAAGATGTTTTGTCATTCTTTTATGATGACTAGAAAACTATAAAAAAAATCCTTCTCCTATAAATAACAGTGTGGTGATTAAGAAATATTTAAAGTAGGTCTTTACAGTGCAGAAGAAATATGAAAAAACCCTCCCACGCCACACAGTATACTGGCCATCATTCCTTGAACTCACAGAGATCCACCTGCCTCTGCCTCCCAAGTGCTGGGATGAAAGGCGTGCGCCACCACGCCCGGCCCTCGTTCCTTTTTATATCTGCCTAGTATTTTATTATTTGACTGTATTGGTTTATTCATCACATCCTCCATTGATGAACATTTTGGGTTGTTAGTGTCTTTAGTAATATAGTGAATGAACTTCTTTTCTATTTGTATTGTTATATCTTCGTGAAAGACTGCTAGGAAAGTGATTTAAAGTTCAAAAAGGTAAATGTGTAGTTGTGTTACAAGTTGCCAAAATCTCCTTTGTGAATTTGTATACCTGCCCAGCTGCGGTGAACTTGCCTGTTGCCCTAGAAGCTCACCAATCCAAATATTGTCTTAACTTTTGTTACTTTTGTCAATTTGATAGGTAACAAATGGTACAACAGTGTAGTTTTAATTTGCATTTCTCTTTTTTTCCCCTGTATTAACTTTTTTTTAAATTTTAAATAATTTATTGAAAATTTCATATAGGCATATAAGCATATAAGGTGCTTTGATCAAATCCATGCCCACTCCCTCCCCTCCAACTCCTCCCATATCCCCCCCTCACTTTTTTCTGATAACTTCATGTACTCTTTCTTCTTGTTTTTTTTTAATGGGGCTTTTGGCTACTCTAACATTCCCACCTCTGAAGAGGTAACCCTAAAATCTTTTAAGGATTAGATAAGAGCTCCCAAATACTTTTGACATTTTTGGCCTTTGGAACAGAGTATGTTGCTCTTAAGAGCCCAAGGACATTTTAACTTTTGGCCAAGAAACTGGTTACTTTTCTTTGGGGTCTTTTTACCCTAACTGCCTAGCCAATTCCTACCTCCAATTCTTATCATACCATCCTCTGAAGAGGTTACCCAAATTGCAGATAGGGAATTGGGATGCAGACTGCTCTGGCTTCTTCCATGCTGAATGGGATGCAGGGTGAGGCAATTGGGGTATCCCTTCAGTTGGTGGTCTGAAGAACCCCAAATTGCATAACTCTTATCTGTAGGGGGAAAAGAAAGTCCTTGACTGGTGGATAGGCAATGTGAAGAAGTAAAGGCAAGAGTAATTAGCATTTCTAGACAGGGAACTAGAAAAAAGCCAGAACAGGGCAAATTTCAAATGTTCATTTGAGAGTCCATTGGAATTTTTTGATGAGAGCTTCCAAAAGCATCCCTCTATTGGGTTCCTCCTCCTTTTTCTTTTGTCTGCCAAGGCTGGACTCGGGAGTGATGGATTCAGGATTTGCTTTCAGGCACTTTGATAGCTGTTGGAGTGGTTAGAATCAGTGTCAGTTCCCTCTCAAAGGCTTCTAGATAGGGGGAGAAAACAAATTTATCCATCATTTTAGAACATCATTTTAGAACAATAGTGAGGGTTGTCTTTTAGCTACAGGTGGGCACTACAGTATTGCGGACCAAGATTTGAGTCTTACATCTGAGCAGCAGTTTCTTATTAGGAACAAAATCATCAATGAGAAATAAATTATCTAAATAACTTTTTATATGGACTTAAGCCTAATGTCTGGGGAAGTGTAATTCCTTGAACTCTTAAAGAAATATACTAATGACTTTACTCTTTGGTTATACTTTCCTTTTGGGTGTTTAAGACCATACAGTTGGCCCAAATAAATCAATTTATTTTTACACTTAATGTCATTTGAGGATCTATTCTTCAGGGGTTACATGGGCTTGGGAGGAGCCGAGTCCCTGGCTCCTTTCTTTTACCAGTTCCATCTATGTGAAGATAAGTCAAAGGACCTTTGACTTATCGTTTCACAGTTGTAAAGATCAAAATGACCAAATCGCTTTGCAGAAAATCACCAAATATATTACATGTTTTTAGGGAACAGGTTTAACATTTTGTTCTAAGGAATCTATGGAATGGGAACTGCCCTGTTTCAGTAGCTACTTCTGGGACTCTTCTGTGAGGGACTCTTTCTGTTGCTATTTACAGAGTTGTTTGCCAGAAGTTGTTAGGTGTTGCTAGGATGAGTAATGTTTGTAGATTGGCTTTAAACTTACCTAGAAACCATAACTAAAAACACTATGGAGGAATGAAGGATGATGGATACATGTTGATACTGTTAGAACTGAAGAGGGGTTGAGCAAAATTCTGATAGTCTCATAATTTATTCTTATAGAAAGTTAATGCCAGTTTATGGAGGTCAGAGGACAACTTGTAGGAATTGGTTCTCTCCTTCCACCATATGGGTCCTGGGGTAGGCCTTGAACTCAGGTGGTCAGGCTTGGTGGCAAGTGCTTTTACCCACTGAGCCATCTTACCAATTCCAAATTATTTTATTAATACTAAATAGTATCCTATGGAAAGGAAGAAAGTGACCTATTTTTAAAAATCACTTATATACCAGGCTGATAGTGCAGCTCAGTAGTAGAGTGCCTGCCTAACATGTGTGAGACTTTGGGTTTAGTCCCTAGCATGCAAAAACAATGAAAACACACAACGTATAAATATTTTATCAGAGCCATTAGTTTATTTTGATGTTGAAAGTTAAATTATAGTTAAGTAAATTACATCAAACATTTTATTGAACTTAATTCAGTTTTGGATAACAAAGCATAAAAATAAATTTAAGTAATACACTTTGGTGAAAACTATTCCTTAAAACAACTTATATTAATTAATGTGTATGTGCAAGCACACAGATGCTGTGGTGCATGCATAGAGGTCAGAGGACAACTTGCAAAGTCCTTTCTTTCTACCATGTGGGTAATAGGGAATAAAACTCAGGTCATCAGGCTTGGCAGCAAGTGCCTTCACCTACTGTGCCATCTGGCAGGCCCACTTTTTTTTTGTTCTTTTTGAGGCAGGGTCTCTCTGTAGCCCCAGCTGTCCTGGAACTCACTATGTAGACCAGGCTGGCCTTGAACTCACAGAAATCCACCTGTCTCTGCCTCCCGAGTGCTGGGATTAAAGGCATGTGCCATCACACCCGGCTAGGCCCTCTTTTTTTGTGTGTGTGGTACTAGGGAACCCAATGACTTACACATATGAGGCAAGGGTTCTACCACTAAGCTATATCCCTAGCCCTTAGTTTCTCTCTCTCTCTCTCTCTCTCTCTCTCTCTCTCTCTCTCTCTTATTTCATGTGTATGGGCCCATGTATCATGGCATGGCATGGCATGGATATGAAGGTCAGAAGATAACTTTCTGGAATTGGTTCACTCCTTCCACCATGTGGTCTCTGGGGATCACACTTAGGTCATCGGGCTTGGTGACAAGCTGAGTCATCTTGCCAGCCTGTTTAGTTTTTGAGACAGTATCTTTCTGTGAAGCCCAGTCTGGCCTCAAACTCACCATCCTCCTGCCTCTACCTTCTCAGTGCTTGTATTACAAGCATACACCATAATGTCTGGCTTGATAGAAAAATTTTTATAAAGAGCTATTTTGTGTGGCTGAGGGTGTACCTCAGTGGTAAAGCATTTGCCTAGCATACACGACGCCCTGGGTTTGATTTTCAGCATTGCCTAAAAAGGAGGCAGGGGGACTTGACTGTTTTTATTCTCTGAGGATATACAAGGACAGTGATAAGTATTTTAAGGAAATTATACTTCTTTGTACTGTTGTGATTTCTTAAATAACTAAAAAAAAATCTGAAAGAGTGAAGACTTCTTTTGACCAAAGCTGATAGAAATGCTGCACGTAGGGGATTTTATTTTTACTTTATTAATAAAAATAAAAGAAAAACAAAAATAATTATATATGCATTTAATAGACAATAAATTGTGATGTTTGGCAATACTTGCATTGTGTTTACCTCTTTTTATGTTTTTAGGTATAAACAGCATAAAACTGACTTTGAAACAATTCCACAGCAGCGCCCCATGGACCTGCCTTGCCAAGTGACTGGGTGTCAGTGCAGGGCTTACCACTATGTCCCTCTTAATGGTACCCAGCCCATTCGCTGCTGGTGCAAACACTTTGCTGACCAGCACAGCGCTGCTTTTGGCTTCACATGCAACGCATGTAAGTTCCATTCTTACACACAAACACAGAATGTTTTAGTTTCTTTGTTGAATACTTAATGTGCTTTTGTAATAGTTTATTTAGCCTCATAGTCAATATTAAAACAATGCTAAATTCAATGGATGGATACTAAGTTCTTGGTTTGATTTATAATAAACTTTATTGTCATAGAATGTAAATGATGTGAATAATACAGATAGATTTTAAAGATTTACTAGATACCATATGATTCAAAGTTTTAACTAGTAGAGGTTTAATCAACTTGGTTCTTTTTGGTTTTGGGTATTGCCAAGGCCTCATGAATACTAGGCAAGCCCTCTACCACTGAGCTACCTCCCATCCCAAACTAAATTCTTTACAGATTTTTAAAAAGAATTTTATAAGTAAAAAGAAAATGGAATAATCTGACAAATATTTAGGCTTTTCTGATTGGGGATGCTCACTCAGTCAAGTGTATGCAACTACTCCAAATCTCAAACTGAAATTGGAAACACTTTTGCTTGCAAGCATTTTGGATAAAGGATACTCAGCCTGTAAAATATTTTTAATGAGAGCGGCAGGAGTAAATGTATTTTATTGGCTAAGTATGGAATTAGTTGGTTAAAACTTACACACAGGTTTAAGTTGTATGACTAGGTAAAGATTTTCTTATATATTCTGGTCTCCAGTATGGCTGCTTTTTAAACATTATTCATGTGTGTGTGTGTGTGCACGTGTGTGTGCTTGTGTCTTTGCACATGCCATCTTGCCCTTGTAGAGGTCAGAGGACAACTCTGTGGAGTCTGTTCTCTCCTCCTACCTTTATGTAGGTTCCAGGGATTGAACGCAGGTTGTCAGACTTTGTGGCAAGTACTTTTACCCACTGAGCCATCTTGCTGGCCCTGGCTTTCTTTTCATATAGCAACGTCATTAAGATATAATTCATATTGGGGCTGGAAGAGATGGATCAGAGGTTAAAAGCATTGGCTGCTCTTAAAGAGGACCCAGGTTTGATTCCCAGCACCCACATAGCGACTAACAGCCATCCATAACTCCACTTCCAAGGGAATCCAATGTCCTCTTCTGATCTCCGTGGGTATTGCATGACATGGGTGCATTTACATGCAGACAATATACTCATAAACATAAAATAAATATAATAAATAAAATATTAAAAAAGATAGAGTTCACATACAGTACAGTTCACCTATTTAACATGTATAATTCAATAGCCTTAAATGTATTAATCTGAGTAGTTACTGTGTAATGAACACAACAATTTTTGTCACTTTAATTACTTATTTATTATTTTTGTTTTATATATATGAATGTGTTGCTTGCTGTATGTAAGTGTACCTGTGTTGTACAATACCTGTAGAGGTCAGAAGATGGTATTGGATCCCCTGAAACTAAGTTACGGTTGGTTGGTAGCCACCATGTGGGTGCTGGGAACCAAACCTGGGTCCTCTGCAAGAACAGCTGCTGAATTATCTTTCCAGCCCCATTTTTGTCACTTTAAGAGAAACTCGATATTCATTAGGAGTCATTTCATATTCCTCTGTCCAGCGTAGGCAACCACTGAGCTTTCTGTGTCCATGGATTTGCCTCCTCTGGACATTGCATGTGAATGAGATCATAGAATATATATTTTTTGTGGCAGACTTCTTTCACTGTAATGTTTTTATGATCCATCCTTGTAGCATGTACTTCTGTCCTGTTTATCTTTCGTGGTTCTGTGTGTCAGTTTTCCATATGGCTTCTGTGAAGCATTTCTCTGCAGGGAAGTTTTGCATTATCTGTTTACTTTGGCCCTTGGTCCCAGGCACCATGGCTGTCCCCATCATGCCTGCTCTTGGCTTAGCATTATTTTTTAATTAATTAATTAATTAATTAATTATTTTTATTTTATGGTGTATTGCCTGCATGTATGTGAGTGAACCCATGCAATTCATTTTTGAGACAGGGTCTTGCTGTGTAGCCTGTCTAGCCTGGAAGTTATGATCCTTCTATCTCAGCTTCCTGAGTTTGGGTTACAGAAGTGCACCACTCTGCCCAGCTTTCACTCTGTTTTTGAGGAGAGGATTTGTATTTTCTGGCACTCCAGTTCTTTACTCAATTTCTTTTAGGCCCAGTTGGGGTTTTTTGAAAAAGAATTTTCCCTTCAGCATACCTCCTTAATCACTTCAGGCTCTTCCAGAAGAGTAGTGGCTGGGAGGGAAGTCAAGGGCTAGAACCATGAGATGCAGGGTCAGAGGATCTACCTTTAGCTAACTTTGGCCAAGATAAATGTCTTAGGGTAGACAGTTTAGCACCTGTTTTTAATAACATGTACCCCCTTGCCGTCTTGATTCAGGTTCTAAGTGTTCTGGATTCCATAGTTGCTTCACTTGTGCCTGTGGCCAACCTGCATATGCCCATGACACAGTGGTGGAAACACAGCAAGAAAGGCTGGCTCAGGGAAAACCAGTGGGACGCGATGTTCCTTACGCAGCAATGGGAGGTCTGACTGGTTTCAGCTCATTGGCAGAAGGCTACATGCGCTTAGATGACAGTGGGATTGGTAAGTGAAGACCTTTGAAATGTGAGCTTGTCAGAGGATTTTCATGTGCTAACAGTTGTGAAGTCTTATATTTGTTTAGCATTTTATATTCATCACACTTTTTAAAGAAAATATTCCCTTACTTGGTTCTTATTAAAAATGTATTTTACTATACAATATATTATAGAAAATGTGGAAAACACAAGAGAAAAGATTATTCTCACTGAAGTATTTACACCCTGAATTAGTTACATTTCTGTTGCTCTGATAAAATACCATGACCCAAGGCAACTCATAGAAGGAAGAGTTTATTGGGTTTACGGAAGATTCCAGAGGGATGGGTCCATCATAGTAGGGAGGGATGGTGGTAGAGGCAGTTGGAGCAGAAAGCTGAGTGCTCACATCTTCAAGCAGCACAGGAAGCCTGGAAGTGGGCAAGGCTATGAACAGTCAGAGCTGGCCCCCAGTGATGCGCTTCCTCTAGCATGGCCACATCTCCTAAAGGTTTCATGACCCTCCCCAAACAGCGCCACCAACTGACCAAGTGTTCAGATACTTGGAGCCTGTGAGGGACACTTTTCATTCAAACACACTCAAACCCCAGTCTGTGTCCCTATTGGTTATAAAGCTTATGATGCTTAGTTTGTCAGATTGATATTTCCTTGTCACATTATTGTGTGCAACTCTGCTATTGAAATACTCTTTCTTTTCTTCCTCTGCCCTCCATTTTTCTTTTTCATCTTTTCTCATTGACTTACATAATTTTTTTTTTGAGACAGGGTCTCACAACGTGGCCCTGGCTGGCCTGGAATTCACTATGTAGACCAAACTGAGAGTACGCCTCTGCCTCCTGAGTGCTGGGATCAAAAGCTTGTCTTCTGGCCTCTTATACAAAGTCTTTTAAAAATATACCTGTGTACTAATCTTTTATTTATTTTGCAGATATTTTGTCCCCTTTTACTCTTAATGTTTTTAATAGTTTTTCAAGTTTGTACATAGATCTTCTTTACTTCAAAGTTTTCCTACTCTGATTTTATAAATATGTTTTTCTTCACCTTAACTTAATATATAATTTCTTTCATGTTTAGCTTTTTCATGTAGCTGTATTTTTTTGTAAACATGTATGATATTACATCTAACTTCAGTTCTTATCCAAGTACTTTAAAAAAAGTATTTTACCTCTTAAATTTATGTGTATGTATGTGTCTGTGTGCGAGTATGAGCATGTACATGCAGGTGGCCTGCAGAGGTAAGAAGAGGGCTGGAGTTATGGGCTGTTGTTAGCTGCCATATGGGTGCTAGGAACTGAACTTAGGTCTTCTGCAAGAGCAGCAAGCACTCTTAACCACTGAGCGATCTCTCCAGCCCCATACTTATTATTTGCCTTTTAGGGATTTGTACTATTTTATCCCTTAACTAGCTGCATACTAAAGAAAAAAAAAAAGCCTTTCATCATGTTCCTTGAAGGAAGGGGGCAGGTAAGGAAAGTTGAGTAAGGAGAGGAGATATAGAACTGTCAGTGGTGGGGCAGCCCAGGGATGGTGAGGCTTCTGCCCTGAGCCCTGCAGAGTTCTAGACAGTAGTGAGCCAGAGATGGGACTTGGTTCTTTATGCAGTCTATCATTCCAGCTCTCAAGGGGGGCTTGGCAGGCAGCTGAGCTGTGAGATGATGATCTGTCATAGTGCAGGCAAGGTAAATCCAGAGCAGAGCTGAAGGGGGGCCCCAACACTGGGAGACTCCATATGGGAAGGGACAAGCTTTGGCATTGGAGTGGGGTAGAATCTACACTTCCACCGAGAATGGGTGTGGGGATGTCAGGCCCTGTCCAGATTACAAATTATGCCAGCTCCAGTTACTGGAGACAAGCCATGCAGCAAGCAGAGGATGGCACAGGACCTGACCAGACCTGAGCCCCTTATATTCCCACTGTCGCAGGAAGGAGTGGTAGGGATAGGAAGGGGCAGGAACTGGAAGACTGAGCAGTTTTCCCATACTGTGCCCATTATGAAATAGGAACAGCCTGTCAGCCAGTTAGACTGAAAGTTCATTTCTGAGAGGTGGCTTGGGAGGAAGATAGAAGAACTTTATATTTTCTTTGCAGCTTCCTTCCCTTTAGTCTAAGAGTTAATGCCTTCAGCAATTGGTCTTTATAGTTTGTGGTTTAGGATGGTATGTTTCCTCATTTCATTAAAGAAAACTTTTTCTTTATTTTTCATGCTTTGTTTTTAGGGACTTTTTTAGTAAGAAGTAGCACACTGTTCTATCCTGCTTTTAGCCTATTTTGAACTTCATCAGATATTAGTACTTCTTTCCTGACATAGTGTGTAATATATTTTTCTTGCCTGTGGAAAAGGTTTATGAGAAATGCAAAAATACTTTTAAAAAAGTAGTTTTAGGGGCTGGAAAGATGGCTCAGCGGTTATGAGCACTGACTTCTCTTGCAGAGGACCCGAGTTTGATTCCTAGCACCCACATGGAGGCTACAAACTGTCCTTAACTCCAGTTCCAGGGGAATCTAAAGCCCTCTTCTGACCTCTGCAGCATTGCACGACATGAGTGCACTCACATACATGCAGGCAATACACTCACACATAAAAAATTAAAAAATAATAAAATATTAAAAAAAGTAGTTTTAAAAAATTATTTTTTATGTGTATGAGTGTTTTGCCTGCAAGCACGTAAGTGCACCTGTGTGTGCAATATCCACAGAGGCCAGAAGATGGCATCAAATCCCTGGAACTGGAGTTATTGATGGTTGTTAGCTGTCGTGTGAGTGCTGGGAACCGAACCTAGGTCCTCTGCAAGAGCAGCCAGTGCTCTTCACCACTGAGCCATTTCTCCAGCCCCTCCAAATACTTTATAAAGCCATTTGCCTCTGTTTGGTAGATAAAACTTTAAAATAAAAATTACTGTGAATTTCTTTTTTTGGTGTTTGGTTTTTTTTGGGGGAAGGGGTATTTCTCAATGTGCTCCCCAAGCTGGTTTAATGCCCCCATTTCCCAAGTACCACTATAGACAGCTAAAAATGCACAGAGTTTTTTTCTAATTATTCTGCTGATATTCTAATTTATTTCATAGTAGAGATAATAATGTACTTGTATTCAGGAAAAGAGAGGTTTAATTTTCATTCTCTATATTTTTTTGTTCCCAGGTGCACCATCGGTTGAAGTTTTAGAGTCTCCAGTTTCTGCCATGGAGCATCCATTTCTAAAAGCATTGAAAACACCATCCACTTCTTCTCCTCAGATACTAATGGATGGTAAGAAAGTTGCAGGAGGAATATTTTTGGATGTAGTAGGAATATAGAACTTTGACTTGCTTCCTAGGATTCTCTCCTTTTCTTACTATTACCACAGTTGAACTTCAGCTTAACTTATCGCTTGATTTTTGTTTGTGTTGGCCAGGCCCTGCTAAAAAGCAAGCTATCATTTTGGATTGGGAAAAATAGCTAAGTCAGAGAGAAGATTCTGATACTATAATTTAAAATTTTGTGTTGCTTTGGTGTTTGAATAAGAGCGCCCTCTAGTGGGCTTTCTTGGAACTTTGGGTGTTCCCCAACTGTGCATATTCCTCAGATAGTCCTGAATTAGGAATATTTTATCACTGATATGATCAGAGCAAGTAGAATTCATTTTAAAGCACAGCAGTCTATATTTCATTATTGAAAACAGAATAAAAAACATTGGAGAAGGAAACGGTGAGGTTTTTTTTCTTCTTGTTGCTAGGGATCCAACCCTGGAGCTCATACTTTCTAGGTAAGTGCTCTGCGACTAAGCCGTACAGCTTGAAGAAATTGTATAGTTGAGAAATTGTATAGTTTCTTAGGTATTTAATATTTTAAATATTAATGAGAACTTAATATAGTTTGAGAAACTGTATAGTTTCTTAGGTATTTAATATTTTAATTAATTAATTTTATTTTTATTTTATGTGTATTTGTGTATTGCCTGCATGTAGGTAAGTGTTGTGCAATGTTGTGCAATGCCTGTGGAGGTCAGAAGAGGCTGTCGGATCCCTTGGGACTGAACAGTTGTTAGCTGCCATGTGGGTGCTGAGATTCGAACCCGGGTCTTCTGCAAGAACAACCAGTGTTCTTAACCACTGAGCCATCTCTCCAGTCCCGGTATTTAATATTTTAAAAGGAGAATTTTCTTCGATTTATTGGCATTTTCCTATACCTTGACATTCTTCACAAAGGATTTTGTTTGCTTCCAAAAACAACAATAAAGTAAATATGAAATACAGATTGAAGTAAAAAATGAAACCAAAATGAAATGAAAGCCCCACAGCCCCTCCCACCTGTGGCAACTTTTAAGCTAACTGCTGCATTAAACTTCATTCAACCTTGATTGAGTGCAGTGGCAGCTGAGGTAGGGGGCAGATGCAGTCAGTTAAATACTTTTCCTTATTAGAGAGGAGCGAGCAGGAATTCCTAGGTGCCAAAGAATGGTCTGGCAACTGTGACCTTCCAGGCTGCTGTGGCCAGGGTCCCCAGGAGCCCCTCTTCAGCAAGATCATGTGATGTCTTGCTTTCTGCAGATACCACTAATAAGAGTGGTAGTGCAGTAACATGCCCTGGAAGGTAAGTCTGAAAGAGGCCTAGCTCAAATGGTCTAGTTTGATCCAGGGATAGACCCAGAGTTTCAAGATGTGTAAGTATTCCTCACATATTTTAAGCTAGCTTTCTGATTTTCCAAACATCTTTTGTTAAAGATAGCAAATAGTATGATTTTACTCTGGTGACTTTCTGGCATTAGATGTTTTTATATTGATGGTTGAGAGCAAATTCATTTGCTTAAGAAACTACAACAGGAATTTAAGCACCTGTTCTGATTTGGAAATTAGAGGATCCAATGAAGGCGCTCACCCGTGCCCAAGGTGAACTTGTTTCTGTAGACTCATAGAATAATTGAAAACTCCATTTTGTCCCTGAAACAATTCAAGGACTGGAGAGATGACTCAGTGGGTAAAGTGCTTGTTGTACATGCAAGAGGCACTGAGTTCAGATCCCTACTTAACCCATGTGAAAGCTGGACATGTCTATGTAACCCCAGCACTGAAGGGTCAGGGAGGCAGAGACATGTGGACCCTGGGAGCTCACTGGTCAGCCAATGTAGACAAATTGGCGAGCTCCAGGTTCAGTGGAGAGTGGTAGAGGAAGACACCCAGTATCATCCTCTGGTTTTGGCTCTGTCTCTCTCTTTGTCTCTCTCTGTCTCTGTCTGTCTCTCATACACATCTGAGAAAGATTTATTAATTTTTTTTCAAAATTAATTTTCCACCATGAAAGATGGATAAAATTATTTTAGTCTTGGAAATTTTCAAAGTGGTGTCATTACTGTGGTTTCCTATATAAAGCTGTAGTAAAGGCACAGTAATGCATGTTGCTGGGCATTATCTCAAATTATAATATGGCTTTCTAATTATAACATGTATAAAGTAGTTAGAAAAAGCTTAGTCTATCTTTTTGTCCTTAAATTTTAAAAATTAATGTGTGTGTGTGTGTGTGTGTGTGTGTGTGTGTGTGTGTGTAGAGGCAGTGTGCGAATGCCCTGGCATATACATGAAGATCAGAAAACAAACTTGCAGGCATTGGCTCTTTCTCTCTTCTATCATGTGGGTCCTAGGGATGAACTTCTGGTCATCAGGACTGGTCAAGCATCTTTACCCACTGACCCATCTTCCCAGTTTTATTTTTGGCTCTTTGAGACAGTTGTATTCAGTCTAGGTTGGCCTGATACCTGCAGTCTTCCTGCCTCAGCCTCCCAAGTGATGGGATTTGGGTATAATGCCTAGCTCCAAGTGTACTCATATGGAATAGCTACGTGGGGTTATTTAATATGAGACAGTTGAATATTTGGAGAATGTTTGTCACTGAAAGTTACTTTTGTTTTGTGATTAAATTTTTTCCAGGAAAGATATTAGGCCATTTAGGCCCTTTCTGGTTTGAAGACTGAAACATTACCTGGTATGAAGAAACTCTGCCCCCACCACATCCTTTAAAGGGAATATATACTGTTATAAATACATTAGTTTTTTTCCATGTTAGTAGGTGCAAGTACTCAGATTTCTTCCTCAAGGAGACCTGAAGAGGATGACATGGCTTACTTTGAAAGACGATACCAAGAAAGGGTAAGTTTTTGAGGAAATTCACTTGCATTAAGGACTTATTTGAAACACAGACACCTTAGAAAGTTTACACCTTGAATGTGGAGCATCATTGAAAATAATTTGTAAAGATTTTACTTACAGATCGTATTGGGCTTTGAGGCTTCCTTAGAATACTTCAGACAGAAATAGGACTGATTTATGAAACTCATAAATATTAAATAAAATAATCATCAGCCATCTTCATATTTATAAATTATATATATCTCAAATTCTTTTGTATATACTTTTATTTTTTAATTTTAAAGTACTGTCAGGGAGGGGATATGGAGAGGCTGTTTAATGAGTGCAGGAGTACAGCTGGATGGGAGAAACAGCTTCTGACATTCTGTAGCACATCAGGGTGATTATGATTGCAACAATTAATTGTATATTTAAAAATAGCTAGTAGAGAAGACTTTGAAGAGTCTCAGTACAAAGAAGTGATAGATACTTGAGGTAATAGATATTCCAACTACCTTGATAGAATCATTCCACATTTTTGTATGTGTATTGAACTACTATCACACAGAACCTCATCAGTATGCACAGTTACTTGCCAATTAAAAAATATGGGGTTGGAGACATGGCTCAGCAGTTAAGAGTGTGTTCTGCTCTTGCAGAGAACTGGGTTTTGTTCCCAGTACCCATGTCAGGCAGTTCACAGTGGCCTGAAACTCTAGCTTCAGGGGATTCTATATATTTACATCCACATATGCACACACATACATACACACATATATGTAATTATAAAATCTTAAAAATGAATAAAAATTAAAACTAAAACAATTGTCAAATGAGATGAAGTACATTTTAATTTTTAATTATGTGTATAAGGGAAGATTTGTGTATGTGAGTGCAAAGTCCATGGAAGCCAGAAGAGAACATTGGAACTGGAGCTACAGGCAGTTATGAGTCACCTGACGTGGGTACTGGAAACCAAGCTCCAGTCCTCTGCAAGAGCCATCTCTCCAGCTCTTATTTTAAATTCTTAATATCTACTATTCCTTTTAAGAGACCAAATTTTATTTGAAATGATTGAAAAATTATATCAATAAATGTTTTAAATTTACAGATAAAAATGGAGAAAGCTGCTAAGCAGAAAGGAAAAGCTCCATTACCATCAGCCACGAAACCATTGTGAAGTCTGTTGGGCAAATATCTCATCCATAGATATCTTCTTTCTATTTAATTTTCTCTCAATTTATGTGCCTTTTTATTATATAAAATGTCTTTTTGAATATTTGCTTAACTTATTGAAATAAGTGAAATTTCTGTTATTTTTGTCAGAATTCATAACCTAGCACTTTATATGCTTTTTTTCAGACAGGGTCTCACTGTGTAGCCCAGACTGGCTGTGAACTCACAGTTTTCCTGCTTCAGCTACCCTAGTACTTCATATATACACTTTTCTCTCTCTAAAAAAGTATTGGGGAGAAATTCTGTTACTAGTTCAGAGACTGCAATGGATGTGGATGATGTGGGTGGAAACTAAAGTGTTAGATTGTGCAGTAGCTGTGACCTTACTGTGGAATGGGACTAATAAGAGTCATTAAGTTCAAGGTGTTGGCTAGCTATTGTTAACTACTTTGGAAACCTTGAAAAGAAAATGATAAAAGGTTCTGTTACCCACTTAACTCAGGCATGCCGTGAAAGCCATAGTCCCTGTATAATTCCCTTTAAGAAGCTTCTCCTCCTGCAGATGCAAGGCAGACTGCTTATGAGCAGATTCAGATCTGATAGTAAGCAAGGTTGCAAAAGAAACAGAACGCACAGCCTCCATCTCTGCCAACAAAGTCAGCATTCTGACAGGAAAAGAAAGGACTTTCAACCATGGGATGGAAAAATTTGTGTTGGTTAACCTGAGACTCTCAAATCCCCAGGTTTCTTTGAACCTTTGAGGTGGCAGAAGCAGCCTTCTCCAATTTGACAGAAGAGGGCAGCCTGCTTTTGATTTGATGCCCTACAAGGCTTTATAAAGAATATGAGGGACTGGGTGAGATGGGTCAGTGCATAAGGATGCTTGTCACTAAGCCCGGTGACTTTTTGAGTTTGATCCCTAGTGGGATCCATATGGTAGAACAAGAGAACTACCTCCAGCAAGTTACCCTCTGACCCCTACAATGTTGTTGCGTACATACATGCATGTATTTACACACAAATAAATGCAATAAAAATTTTGAAGAATCTGTGGCAACTGTATAACAAAATGACATTTGTCCTCAGAACCCACCCCTGCTACCCTGCTAACTAAATTGACTCTAAATTAATAATTAGGATCAGGTCTCAGTACCCCAGTGGGGAAATACAGTCTTTCCTCCAGAAGAATGCTTATACTCTGAATGAACTGCAGGTGTAAGGGTATTGTCTGGAACCCAGGAAACATGTCTTGGATTTTGAGTGTATGCTGGATCAAGGAGGGGGATGAAAGACTATAAAGCTCAGAAGGAGAGGGAGATATGGAGGCATTCACACTAATGTGTGATCTAGGCTCTGATAAAGATGTCTAAAATTGGTCCTAACAGACTGTCAGGTTGGTGTGCAGAAGATGTAGACATGGCAGAAGTAATTTGGCATAGTATTTAAGTACTGAGGAAGGGGTCAGAAAGCACAGGGATGTGAGAACATTAGAAACTGGAAAAGCTGTCACCAGAATTTTCCCTAGCAAGGCCCAAATAACACTCATCACTAAGGTGGTAATGTAATGGTTGCGAATACCCTGGAAACGGAGAACTCTGCGAGCCTGACTGACCTCTATGGGTTAGAATTGGGGAAGACACTGAAATTATCCAGGACTCTGTCTTTGTAAGTAGGTGATAGGATATAGAGATCTTGAAGGCCAAATGTGGAACTTAGTTGTCAGAAGCCCAGTGGATATAACTAACTAATGGGCACCAAGGCATGAATCAGAATAAATTTAAGTTCATGATGTTCCAAAGGACAAGACAGACAGTTAAGATACCTGAGGTGTACCACCATTCCAGCCTCATGTCTCAACAAAAACATGACAAGGCAAAACAAACCCCAAACCATGATAACTGTTAAGCAAAAGGCTCACATCAGTCATGGCAATGAAAAACCACAGTTTCTCACCTTCTTTCTAGATCCAAAGCAGTTCAGATCTAGATTCTAGGGTAGAAGGGAGAGTGTAGATCCCTTCAGGGAGAATCCTCAATATCTTTTGAAATTCCTTATAGGGGCAGACATTTACTAGGGCAACTATTCAGTGGATGAAGAGAAATATTATGTAATACTACTAAAATGTAATGTAATACTACTAAAATACTAAAATACTTTAGTAATACTAAAATGAAGAGCATTTTCAACCAGGAAAACCAGGTTCATACAGGATCTATACTGACATAGATTCAAAAGACCCCAAAACATCACTGTGGTTCACTGGTTAGGGTATTTCTTAATTAAAAACTTTTAATATTTATGTACATATGGGGGTAGGAGGGTGGGTGCATGTGTGCGTGCATGTGTGCGTGTGTGTGTGTGTGCAGTGTATACAAGTACATGTATGGGTAGGCCAGAGGTCAGCCTCTGGTCTCTCAGGAGCCATCCACCTTGGTTTTTGAGATGGGGTCTGTCACTGGAACCTGGAGCTTGCTGATTAGCCTAGGCTGGCTGGCTACAGCCCCAAGGATGCTTTTGTCTTTGCCTTCCCAGCACTGGGATTGCAAATGCATGCCATAAGATGGGTGTGGTGGTGTACACCTTTAATCTCAGCACTCGGGAGGCAGAGGTATGAGATTGAGGCCAGTCTGGTCTACATAATAAATTCCAGGCCAGCTGGAGCTATAGGGAGACCCTGTCTCACCAAAAAAACCAAACCAAACCAAACAACAACAAAAAACAAAACCCCCCCAAAACAAAAAAACAAAAAACAAAGCAGGCTATCATGCCTGGCTTTTTCTTTTTTTCTTTCTTAAATGTTAGTTCTGGGGATCCATTTTAGGTCTTCATATTTTTGTAACCAAGCACTTGACTTCTGAGCTATCTCCTTGGTTCATCCTCCCACCCCCATTTTTTTATGCTTAGGGTCTTGTTCTGTTGCCTGGGTATACTGATTATTCTTGATTGCTAACTTGATGGTATCTGGAACCAATGAAGAGAGATGCCTCTGGATGAGTTTGCGAGGGAATTTCCAAAAGGGTTAACTGAAGGGAGAAGACCCTTTCTCAAGGTGGGCAACGCCTTCAGTGGGTGGCCCAGATATAAAGGAGTCCACAAAAAAAAAAAAGCAAAAAAACAAGTTCCTTGTTTCCTGCTGGTGTGTGTTGGTCCTTGTTGATGCTGCTGTTGTCTTTCACTGGCATCAGACTCCAGCTTCTTGGCTTTTACACTTCCAGATTACAGTTCGACATTGAGGGAAGTCAGGGCAGGGGCTTAAGGCAGAACTTGGAGGCAAGAACTGAAGCAGAGACCAGAGGAAGGCTGCTTACTGGCTCTCTAGCCTTTGCTCAGCTAGCTTTCTTATCCAGTCCAGGCCCATCTGCCCAGGGATGGCATTGTCCACAGAGGGCTGGGCCCTCCTTGTCAGTTAGCAAGGAAGAAAATGCCCCACAGGCCAGTCTGGTGGGTACAATTCCTCAGTTGGGACTCCTTTGAAGGTGTGTCTAGGTTAGTGTAAAGTTGACAAAAGTGATGACAATTCTTGAAGCCACTACATGTCACAATGCCTAGTCCAGAGTAAGGTGTTTTAGAAGCCCAGAGGAAAAATGGAGTCCTGGTTTTGGGTCTTGGTTTTGTCTCACTCTTTGTTTTCTTTAATCCATAAGTATATATTTGGGCTATATAGTAGTTTGAAACTGATAGAACACTTAGGTCTATACTAATAAATTTTGCTTTCTGTTCCAGGACTTCTTAGATGCAGCAGGATAGTGTTAATAACCTAGAATCCTTCCCTAATCAATGGATAATGTAGATCTATAAAGACAGTGCATAAAAGACATCAACAGTGCTATTTTTGACTGGTCATGTTATAGGCTATAAAAATATCTCAGTGTTTTTTAAAGATGATTCAGATCGTAAAGCTTGTCCTCTGGCCACAATGATATTAAATCAGAAATCTATAACAATATTTGGAACATTTCCCAGTATCTGAAAATTATAAAACACATGGATAAATAATCCAGGGTCAAATAAAATAATCAAAAGGATACTTTTTTGGAATGAGCATGAAAATAATATTTGCAGTTATAGCCAAAGCAGTTCTACAGGGAAACATCTAATACCAAATGCTTATCTCAATAAAGATCTCAAATTAATGACATCATCCATCTATTATCTTATGAAACTAGAAAAAGAAAACACTGAAAAAAAATCCAATCAAAGGAAAAATAAACTTCTAAAGAAGTACAAATGGCCAATGAATGCATGAAAAAATATTCAGTGGGGGCTGGAGAGATGGCTCAGCAGATAAGAACACTGTTCTTGTAGAAGACCTGGGCTCGAATCCCAGCACCCACATGGCTGCTAACAACTGTCCATAACTCTACTTCCAGGGAATCCAACAGTCTCTGTCCTCTGCAGACACTGCACGACACGGGTGCACTTACCTACATGCAGGCAATTACACGCATACACATAAAATTAATAAGTAAAATATTATAAAAAATAAAAAGTATTCAGTATCTTCAGGCATAAAAGAAATACAAATCAAAGCTACACTGAGATTCTGTTTCTTCCTAGTTAGAATGGGTATAGTGGTGTGCACCTTTAATCCCAGCACAAGGCAGAGGCAGGCAGATCCAAGGCCAGACTGATCTGTAATAGTGTGTTCCAGGTCAGCTGGGGAACTCTGAAAAAAAGAACAAATGCTGCTGGTGTGGAGGGTGCGAGGGTGTGTACTGTCAGTGAGGAAGGAAACTGATACAGTAAGTTTTGGAAATGAATTTGGAGTTTCCTTAAACAAAGCTATTTAACTCAATTATATCACATTGGGGCATATATCCAAAATGAATCAAAATTAACATGTAAATACACCTGCATACCCATGTGTATCATTACTTATTCACAATGGCTAAGTTCCTGCCCATTGATGAAGGGGTGGATAAAGAACTATGCTATATTGGGGCCAGAGAGATGGCTCAGCAGTTGAGAGCACCGGCTACTCTTGCAGAGGACCTGGGTTCAATTCCCAGCACCCACATGGTGGCTAACAACTGTCCATAACTCCAGTTCCAGGGGATCCAACATCCTCTTCTGACCTCTGTGGGCATTGCATGACAATGGGTACATTTATATACATGCAGGCAATACACTTAGACACATGAAATAAAAATAATAAAAGATTCTAAAGAATGTTGTAAATAATATGCTATATTTTTTTTCATAGCTTAGATGAAATGGACAAATTTCCTTGAAAACCACTGTTGTAAATGGTGAAGTCTTTATCGTCTCTTTAAGGATCATTCTAATATTTCTGTGTAAATTACAGAGAAACATAAAATGAAAGGATTCAGTATATTCATGGGTCCTAGAAAAGAGAGACATGGCATGCCACATAAGGGGCTCAGTAGGAAGAATAGTCACCAAGGAAACAGGCTCAGTTGAGCAGGTGGGAGGCTGCATATGTGAATCCATCTGCAGGAACTCTTATTAGGGGTCAGAACAGACTACACAAGCTAAAGGCACAAGGGTGTTTCATTGGTGCTTTGGAATGTCACTAGGTCACAGTCAGAGAGGGGTAGGAAAGGGAACTTGTGACAGGGACCATTCAAATCACACTGGCACGCTGCCTGGTTGCTTCTGCAGGGTGCTGACAGCCTGTTTGTGGGGATACTCAGGCACCAGGCAAGTTATAGAAAATTTAGAATACAAACT